GATGTGACATGATATTTGATACAAAAACTTACAATTCATAAATAATTGGCGACCAAACTTTTTGGTCGCGAAATGTGACAATTGGCGACTAAGAAATTTGGTCGGGAAAATATCACTTTTCGCGACCAAAGTGTTTTGGCGACAAAATAAATTAGTCGCGGTAATTAAATATTTAGCGACCAAAAATTTAGTCGGCAAAATCCAACTTTTGCCGACCAACCATAATTTTGGTCGCGAATTACTTTTGCCGACCCTCAATTGGCGACCAAAGTAGCGACCAAAAAATTTGGTCGCGGATAACTTTTGCCGACCAAAAATAGACTTTTAGCGACCAATTTTTTTGTTGCCAAAAGTGTTAATTCTTGTAGTGACACTACAACATATACAGATTTTAGGGATCAATATTTTTCCTCCTTAAAAAGAAAATTTTGCTACAAAAAATATTATGAGATTAATTCAAGTCCTCATGTGCATCGTAAACGGTCCTAAAATATCAAAAAATTGACTTTAGCCACGAAAAAAATAAAAATATTGTTAATAAATGCACTTTTAAAGACATAAAAAAATAAAAACCTTGAACCAAAGATTTATTTTTCAAGATAAAAAATTTTGTCCCAAAAGGATATTGATTTATTGTCTAATTTCCAAAAGTATAGTAATGTACTAAATGTCAAATTTAAAATACAATATTAAAATTTTTGATAATTAAAATATTTGGTCTAAAAAATTTAACCAAAAAAAAAAGAAAAGGGGTGTGAGGAGTGATGGTGGTTGAGGCTGGAATTTATTAATTAGATTACAAATATTCATTAGTACTCATGCATATACAAGCACGTGGATTGCATGTATGCCCAAAATGGAACTTTACAACCGACGATTTAGAATTAGAAAAACAAAAACTAAATTACATTGACCAATTTTGAAATTTTAAATATATATATATATATAATAAAATTTAAAATTTTGACATAATTATACAATTTTTTGAAAATAAAAATAAAAATAAAAATAAATACAAAATTTTGTTTGGCAAATATACGAGAAAAATATTTTATGGGAAATTTTCTGAAAAAACCACATTTTTAGAAAACACTTTTAACTTGTTTTATGAATTTCAATAGGTATTTATGCACAAAAATGGGAAACAATATGAAAAGATGAGAGAGTTTTGGACTTTTTTTTTTCTTTCAAAAACACAAAGAACAAAAATAAATAAATAAAAATTAATATAATAATACAGAACTTACCCCTTTTTATATCATTCAAGAGACTTTCAACTTGTGAATCAAAATTGTAATTGTGCTTCTTTAGTTAAAAATAAAAAATAAAAAATAAAAAAAATAATAATAAAGAAAAAGAAAAAGAAAAAGAGAGAGAGAGAGAGAGAGAGCACTAAGAGTCATTTAGGACTTCTTTAGGTCTCGTTTGTCAATTATACATTTTAGCTAAATAGTTAAAAAGTCATTATAAGTTATCGTATCACTCTTTCTACTTTTCTGTACATCTCTTCGTAAAAATTAAAAAATTATTAAAATAACATGTTCTCAAACAAAGCCTTAGTTAAAAAAAAGAGAGCACCAGAGTCATTTAGGGCTTTTGGTACCAATTGAGAACCACAAACTCATTAATCACCTACTTTTCTCATACAAAATCACATCCAATGCTTTATTTTATTAGCCCAACATTTTGGAAGCATACCGATAGATATTTATTTAGCAAATAAACCCTAATGAAAAACTACAAACTAGCTGGATGTGACTCATTTTTTAGTGTAATCAATTCAATCTTCTTCCACATGAGGACTATTATAATTATGCTGATCTATATGTCCTTCACTAGAATTAGTTGTTTTGCTTAATGAGCTTAATTATAGAGGAAAAAAACAACACAAATGATTGTGACAATCTCAAATGACACCAAACGTCTGAGTTGGAACCCATCAAAATTAATTGGCCACTTGTTTATTTTATCAAAACCAAATTGAACACGGATTTGCTGAATTTGAGATTTCAACTTCAACAGCGAAATTAGAAACATTAGGGCCTATTATCGGGAGCTTCTATTTACACACACCTATTCCCTTCTTTACACATCTTTTTCAATAAATAATTGGTTCGGAAGTAGATTTCCGAAAATAAGCAATTGGTTCGGAAGTAGCTTTCCGAAAATAAACAGTTGATTCGGAAGTAGACTTCCGAATTTTTATTATTTTTTCGACATTCAACTTCCGAATGTGTTTATTTGATGTCTATAATAGTAATTTCACCTGAAAAAAAATTTATAATAAAAATAATTTTTGTGAAGTGTGTGCAAAGAGGGGAAGGTGGATGTGTAAATAGAAGCTCCCCCTATTATCGGAGAATGTGAAGTGGATTTACTTTCTAAACCTTTTATTTTGAGAAAAATACTGAAATTGCTCCAATATTATCATTAAATTTGGAATCCCAAATTGCACAAAATCAAATTCAACCACATAGACCACCACCTAATTCATGAACTAATCCAAGTCCCTAGGGCTCAGCAAGCAATCCGTAAAATTCATAATCCGATTCAGTCTAATCCGGTACGTTTAGATTGATTTTTTGAATCCGTGATTCGGTTTCGGATTGAAAAATTAAAAATATATAGTCCACGAATTGGTTCCGGATTGAATCCCACAGTTCTGGATTAGAACCAATCCGGACCGTATATAAATAGTATATATTTTTAGGGTCCTGCTTAAGTGTGCAACCCCCTTAAGGTTGCACATCATATGCAACCCAATTGTTAGCCGTTAGATTACAATAATTGATCAAGACCATTGAATTGTTTAATCGTGAAAAAGTTAAAACCGGGGCAACTGGTTAATGCTTGTATTTGCATGATTGTATCCCACTTACTCTCTGTATTTCGTCTCTATCTCTCTCTGTTCTCCTCTCTGTGTAAGGTTGAGTCAGTGTAACTGTTGATTTCCATTAACAGGGAGAAGCCCCTGTTGGGTTCGTTCCATTAACGAAGCTCTGTAGGGAACAGTATAACGGGCGATTTCCAACAACAACGTAACTACAAGGCTGTGTTGGTTCCATTGCTGAAGTGAAGCCCTTCTCTCGAACTAGATATGAGGTATGGAAATGTCTCCCTCTCTCTGTCTCCCTCTCTGTCTCTCTGGCCCGTTTACTTCAGCTATTTTCCCTCAACTAAACCCCCATCCTAACTTCAACCGCTCTACGCTTGGCTCTAACGGAAACCCCTCCATTGGCAGCTAACCTTTCTCTTTCTCTTTCTCAAGCGAGTGTTTGTGTTTGCACAAACAGCTAAACCGTATGAAAATGTCATGTTTGTGTTTGTGTTAACAATTTTCGATCATCAAGTAATTGTTTGTAGTAATGTCATGTGCAGTATGGCCCCAACGGAAGTTAAAAGGGAAGGTGATGATTATGAAATTCCAAATGAAGCAAATGACATTCGTTTGATGAATGAAAGTCGGGCAGAACCTGATCATGGTTGCGAAGCTGGTCCGAGCAATGAAGAAGCAACCAACATGAACGTTGAAGATAGCGGAGCCGATGTGAAAAAAGAAATGGTTGAATATGCTCATCGCAATGACATGGTTGGTAATGTTGAACGTGCTATTCTAGAACAGAAATTTGATTCGGTCGAAGATGGAGAAGATTTCTACAATGCGTATGCCAAAGCCAAGGGATTTAGTATACGAAAATCCAGATTTAACACAAATAAAGAGGGAAAGGTCGTTAGTAGGCTGTGGTTGTGTTCAAGGGAAGGTCAGAGATTACCAAAATACTTGGACCGTGTTGCTGAGAAGAGTAGAGCTCCCAAAGCACTAACAAGAGTAGGTTGCAAAGCCCAATTTCGCATACGGTACGATGCGGATGCTGGTGAAGGGGGAAAGTATGTTGTGACTCACTTCATCGCAGACCACAACCATGAATTGGCGGAACAACACTGTGTGATGTATCTGAGGTCACATCGCAGTTTAAACAGCGGTGACAAAGCTCAAGCAATGGCTATGCGCAATGTCGGTGTGAAGACTAGCCAAATCATGGACTATATGGTAAATCAGTCCGGGTCTTATGAGAATGTTGGTTTCATCCGCACGGATCTGCACAACCATATTCAAGCCGAACGTAGAGCAGAAGTTGAGGATGGTGATGCGCAGGGTGCGTTGGTTTACCTATGCGCAAAACTTGATGTTGATGCACGTTTTTTTTACAAGTATGATGTGTGTAACGATAACAAGTTGCAAAATCTGTTCTGGGCAGATTCGAAATCGCGGGCCGACTACGCAAAGTTTGGTGATGTGTTGATATTTGACTCAACTTACAGAACCAATGCATACAAGAAACCGTTTGTCATGTTGGCTGGTGTGACTAGCCACTTTAGGACCACGATATTTGCATGTGTTTTGCTAGCTAATGAGACAATTGAGACATACACATGGGTTTTGGAAACATTTATGGAGGCGATGGGCAATAAAGCACCTGTGTCCGTACTGACAGATGGGGATAAGTCGATGCGAGAGGCAATCAGAAGAGTATTTCCAGATGCAAGACATCGATTATGTAATTGGCATCTTGGGAAAAATGCTGTTTCAAATGTTCACATAAGTGGCTTTGCACATGCTTTCAAGCAGTGCATGGACATGGAAACGGATGAGACAAAGTTTGAGCATGGCTGGACGACAATGGTCGAAGAATTTGGACTTCAAACCAACAGTTGGGTGTTGGAGACATATGAGAAGCGTCATATGTGGGCTGAGGCATATATGCGTGGACATTTCTTTGCTGGGATGAAGAGCACTCAGCGCTCGGAGTGTATGAATGCTTATTTCAATCCCTTCCTCCAACACAAATTGAAGCTATATGAATTTGTTAGGCACTATGATCGGGCTCTTGCAAGGATAAGGTATAACGAGGCTGGAGATGATGCTGAAACAAATAACACTTTTCCGGTATTGATTACTCCATTGCGAGATATAGAGAGACATGGAGCTGAGCTATTCACCCGAAATATATTTAGAATGTTCCGTGATGAAATCTTAGAAGAGGGGAAGTTGAATGTGAAGGATGTGTTCCCTTTGCCGGATGGTCAGAAATGCTACTATATTCATAAGTACAGAGTGAAGGACAGATCATGGATAGTAACACACAGTCCAATGGATGCTGCAATGAGATGTTCTTGCATGAAGTTTGAGTCGTTGGGGCTACCTTGCTGCCACATGATATGTGTTATGAAAGCTGAAAATTTAACGCAAATTCCCCCAACTTGTGTGCTGCATAGATGGACAAGGGCTGTAAGCAAGGATGGCCAGCAATGGCCTCAACCCTCAATTGATAGCACTACAACACAGACGGCCCGGTATGGGATATTGTGTTCTTCCTACAACGAAATGTGTTTCTATGCCTCGCAATCAACGGAAGGTTTCAAGGATGCTAGGGATGCATGTCTTCCGATGACGAGCCGGATGAAGGAGTTATATGAGAGGAATTTGAACGGTGGGAATGGAGACAAAGGGAAACATTCATTCTGTCGACAATTTGGAGTAGAAGATCCTGATGTTGTGAAGACAAAAGGGAACCCAGGACGGGCCTCGTCCAACTGTCGAAGACCAAGAAAATGTGGGAATTGCAAATGCATTGGGCACACAAAGCGAACGTGTCCTAAGGTTCGGTTTAGCCGAACAGTGGGTACTAACTCAGATGCAGATACACCTCACATAACTGACCGTGAGTACAATGCGGAGTCATTGCCCGTTCGTTGCAAAACTGGGTTGGTGGATCCAAGTACACCGCACATTAAGCAACGGCGACTATTTTTTGATGTTTCTCCTGATTCCAAGCAGCCTGTGGGCCAATACGGTAGTGTTGAAGCAGCAGTGTGGAAAAATGATTCGAACACAATTGATGAGGTGAATCAGGTAATTTTATAATTTGTATGATTTACTTATTCCCTTAGCTATTGAAAACACGTGGAAATAATGTATGTAGTTTTCATTTTGCACGGATTGCTGTACGTAACGTGTAAATAATTGGTTATGTACAATGCCAGGAAATGGCACAACGTTACTTATGTACAAGGCCACGAGTTGTAAATTTCCCATATTGTTTAGAGTGATGTTGTCATTTGTGTTTGCAGTGACTTGTCATTTTCAAAACTAATTGAAGGTGAGGTGAGATATATATGGGTTGTCTGTGTGTTGTTTTGGGTTGGAAATTGGCTTATGTCTGTATTCCAAGATTTCTATTGCGGGTTGCTTGTTTCTGTTCCATATTTGGTTGGATCTAACTGAAGGGTTTTTTGCGGTGTGGTTTATCAACTTTCGATGTGTTTCGTTTTGTATTGATTTGTTATGACTTGTGTCGGTAAATTAGTATTATATTTCGAGTAAAATACGAATTTTGTCGAAGTGGGTTTGCAAAATTACATACCAGCACATGCATTTTGTATATAATCCAAGTGGCAGTTAATTTTGGGTGTTACTTGGAGAAAGTAACCCAACGAACTCGTTACTTTATCTCCATGCCGATTGGTATATGAATTACGAGTTACGAATAGGAGTTGTGAAATTATTTATTGTTTACTATGGAAGTATGGGTTTATTGTTAGTAAAATTATGGTGGGTCTATATCGACAGCAACGAAGCAGTAATTTAAAGTTGACAAGTTCAAGAAGAAAATCAAGCAATTGTGGTATTGGTTCAAATGCCTGCAATGGATGAAGACTTCTTTCGATGAAGTGATGGTAACAAAGTAGAAAGTAACGAAGTAGAAAGTAGAAAGTAGAAAGTAAGTTGTTGTGTTGTTGTGTTGTTTGTAACAAAGTAGAAAGTAGAAGGGAAAAAACTACACAAAAGTTACAATATAGAAAGTAAGTTGTGTTGTTGTTCATGTCCTCTCTCTCTGCAAACATTCTGCCCTTTATAGCTATAAAATTCCCACGACCCCATGATCTGCCAATTCTGCAACTGCTTCTGTGCAACTTCTGTAACTGCACGGTCATTCCCGTGTATTGAAACCACATAAAAGCTTCACTTGTACCTATCAAAGTGCATATAATTGAAGTTGCCACCTGTGCCCAGGTCCTTTTAGCCTTTCCTCGACAGATACAGACTCCCAATTCATTCATGTTTCCTCTTGGAGGGTGGCCACTAAATCCATGAGCACTGCCAGTAACTGCTCCAGCGTGTAAGTCAGGTGGCATGCAAGATTCAATGTTAGTTGAATGGAGCAGCTGTTGGGAGGATGTGGGAAAAATAGGTGCAAAGAGGAATTTTTAATCTAATATCCAATCAGAATGTAGCTGAAAATATGAGTGAACTTTTTTTTAAAAAAAAGTAGTTCCCATTTTTTTTATTATAAACCCGAGATGTATATTTTGTTTTTGATATAAATAAGTTGTGTATTTTCGTTAGGTAAAATGTAAGACAACAATTGTGTTTAAGTCATTACAATACAGAAAAAGGTTATTTCAAACATATTTTCAAGTTTACCGACATTGAATATATTTTGATTAAATTACAGGGAAAATTCAATATTTGGCAGAGTTTGATGATTCATAGTCAGGGGCAGTAACAGTGAGTGGCCAAGTGCTGCGGTTCAGTGGCCCAGTTTGCAAAGATTGTGGTTGTGTTTAGTGGACAATATTTTGTTGATTTTTGTCTCATAATGATGAGGGACATACCCCACAATGGTGAAAAGGAAGGTCGACAGGGAAGAGTCAATATTTGACAGAGTGGACTTGAAGATTCAAAGTCAGGGGGCAGTTACAGTCGCAATTATGGTGTAGACGTGTGGGATCATGCAATGATGGGCCACAAAAACAGTATACGGATATCGAAACCAACGATCTCCGTTCTAGGCATTCCAAGTATACTAAACCTTCACTTCTATCTGTCGATCTCCCTTTTCTTGTGTTTATTTCATGGCCACCAACTGTTTGAAACTTCTGTTGACAGAGCAAGGCTCCTGCTTTGTCTCATGCTTCCTCCTGAAAGTATGCCCACTAACTCACAAACAAACGGTTGCAACATGTGGCTGTTAACCTCAAAATTTTGCGTAAACACAGACAACAACACGCAGAATTTCCCAACACATATACAGATTTTGAAACAGACAAAAGAAATGACACACATCAAAATTTTGCATTTCGTTCACACAGCTTACAATTAAAATAATTATGTGTACAAGCGATAAATGCATAATTTCCCAAATATTGAAGAGGAATGACTACATTATGTTTTTCATTTAGGGCTGAAGGACTACACGCACATACTTTTATGAAGGTCCGACTACAAAGGACAAAGAAGCAACTGAACTATTTCATGACGGGGTTAAACAATCAGGACACGATTCTGCTGTCAGAGAAATTGGTGCTCATCCCAGGCACAAAAACCAGATGAAACCCCATCCATCAAGTTGAGGGCTTCAATTTCCTACTGAGCAACTTGGTTGCAGAGAATCGAGGTGGCTGCATCCTGGCCCATGCTCCATTACCTTCGGGTGGTCAGACAGTGGGCAGATTAGAGAAGAATACTTTTCCGGGCGTACAAGCAAGTTTCATCAATTGTATGTCACAATGAAACAAGCAAGGAAATTGAAGCCCTCAACTTGATGGCTGGCCTTTCCAACAACTTAAGCGGCCGGAGACAATGGCTGAAAACCAATACTTTCTCCCCACCTGACTCGGACAAGCCTAACAGATTAAGGAAGAAGTTTGCCTTCAGTCCTTCTCTAATATCCAACTTTTCTAAGATGTGGTCCGTCCGGGCATCGTCAATGCCCTCTGTTTCTGTGGTTGACGTGTCTGTAGGTGAACTCTTTAGGAGATATCTCAACTGTGCGTGCACATACAATGTGCTCCCATCCCAGGTAATGTTTAACTTCTTAACTACGTTGTTCAGTTCTTCAACTTCACGAACTGTCGTAAGGGTGAGGTGAAGAAATTCAGAAAAGTCAACAAGCCCAGGCAATTCACGAAGAAAATCTCATTCGTAGAAATGGACAACCTTGCTTGCCACTGCACGCAACTTTTGAATGACGGTTACCTTTCTCTTGAAGTTATCATCTTTCATATATATACAGCAGTTACATTTGAAGACGAAGGTAGCTGTCATTCATGAGTTGCGGGCTGTTTGGACTTTATTGAGCGAGTTCATGAAATGCGTACTCTCATTTGTCTTTTTTTATGACCTTCGTGCAGAATGAGAATGGATGGGTACGTTAGTAATATTTGTTGGCAGGCAGTGGCAGTCTTGCTTGTTTCATTGTCACATACAATTGATGAAACTTGCTTGTACGCCCGGAAAAGTATTCTTCTCTGATCTGCCCACTGTCTGAGCACCCAAAGGTAATGGACCATGGACCAGGATGCAGCCACCTCGATTCTCTGCAACCAAGTTGCTTAGTAGGAAATTGAAGCCCTACACTTGATGGCTGGCCTTTCCAACAACTTAAGCGGCCGGAGACGATGGCTGAAAACCAATACCTTCTCCCCACCTGACTCGGACAAGCCTAACAGATTAAGGAAGAAGTTTTCCACTGCCTGCGAACAAATATTACTAACGTACCCATCCATTCTCATTCTGCAAGAAGGTCATAAAAAAGACAAATGAGAGTACGCATTTCATTTCTACACTCAATCAAGTCCAGACAGCCCGCAACTCATGAATGACAGCTACCTTCCTCTTGAAATGTAACTACTGTATATATATGCAAGATGATAACTTCAAGAGAAAGGTAACCGTCATTCAAAAGTTGCGTGCAATGGCAAGCAATGTTGTCCATTTCTATGAATGATATTTTCTTCGTGAATTGTCTGGGCTTGTTGACTTTTCTGAATTTTTTCACCTCACCCTTACGACAGTTCGTGAAGTTGAAGAACTGAACAACGTAGTTAAAAAGTTGAACATCACCTGGGATGGGAGCACACTGTATATGCACGCACAGTTGAGATCCCTCCTAAAGAGTTCACCTACAGACACGTCAACCATAGAAACAGAGGGCATTGACGATGCCCGGATGGACCACATCTTAGAAAAGTTGGATATTAGACAAGGACTGAAGGCAATCGACATCCTTAATCTGTTAGGGTTGTCCGACTCAGGTGGGGAGAAGGTATTGGTTTTCAGCCATCGTCTCCAGCCGCTTAAGTTGTTGGAAAGGCTAGCCATGAAAGTGAACGCTTCAACTCTTGATTCAGAATTGAGTGTGGGAACTAATAGCTCTCTACAAAATTTGGAAATCGTCATCCTCATTTCAACTCTTTCAATTTGGCTTTCCTATGTTTTAAGTTGAATACCGTCAACTATGCATGAACTTCAGCACTGAAAGAAAGAGTTGTTTACTGTGTTACACGGACTCGGGTACGGGTCCCAGGTGCGGTATGCATGTACAGGTCCGACTCATTAAATCTTAACCCTACATTCAATGGTACACGGTCTGGGGAAAAAATATTATATTTTTAATCTAATATGTGCCATAAAATGGTACTATATGTAACTCACGGTGTCAAAATCACATTTATAGTAATTTCACAATAATTTGCACATATAATAATTGTGTTTTATACAATTATATAAGAAGTGTCCGTTGAAAAGTATCCGACACATCCCATACCCTTGTCCGACTCTCAGGTGTCCGACACAGGTATTTGATCTAACTTAAGCGGCTGGAGACGATGGCTGAAAACCAATACCTTCTCCCCACCTGAGTCGGACAACCGTAACAGATTAAGGAAGAAGTTTGGCTTCAGTCCTTGTCTAATATCCAACTTTTGTAAGATGTGGTCCATCCGGGCATCGTCAATGCCCTCTGTTTCTGTGGTTGATGTGTCTGTAGGTGAACTCTTTAGGAGGGATCTTAACTGTGCGTTCACATACAGTGTGCTCCCATCTGAGGTGGTGTTCAACTTCTTAACTACGTTGTTCAGTTCTTCAACTTCACGAACTGTCGTAAGGGTGAGGTGAAGAAATTCAGAGAAGTCAACAAGCCCAGGCAATTCACGAAGAAAATCTAATTTGTAGAAATGGACAACCTTGCCTGTCATTGCACGCAACTTTTGAATGACGGTTACCTTTCTCTTGGAGTTATCATCTTGCATATATATGCAGCAGTTACATTTGAAGAGGAAGGTAGCTGTCATTCATGAGTTGCGGGCTGTTTGAACTTCATTGAGCGTAGAAATGAAATGCGTACTCTCATTTGTCTTTTTTATGACCTTCGTGCAGAATGAGAATGGATGGGTACGTTAGTAATATTTTTTGGCAGGCAGTGGCAGTCTTGCTTGTTTCATTGTCACATACAATTGATGAAACTTGTTTGTACGCCCGGAAAAGTATTCTTCTCTGATCTGCCCACTGTCTGAGCACCCGAAGGTAATGGAGCATGGACCAGGATGCAGCCACCTCGATTCTCTGCAACCAAGTTGCTCAGTAGGAAATTGAAGCCCTCAACTTCATGGCTGGCCTTTCCAACAACTTAAGCGGCTGGAGACGATGGCTGAAAACCAATACCTTGTTCCCACCTAAGTCGGACAAGCCTAATAGATTAAGGAAGAAGTTTGCCACTGCCTGCGAACAAATATTACTAACGTACCCATCCATTCTCATTCTGCACGAAGGTCATAAAAAAGACAAATGAGAGTACGCATTTCATTTCTACGCTCAATCAACTTCAAACAGCCCGCAACTCATGAATGACAGCTACCTTCCTCTTCAAATGT